AAAATACAAATTAATAGTCATCTGTAATAGTCAAACATAGTTAAGCTAGTTAGGCTTTCTAGATATGAAGAGCTATATTTCAAATGGATAGGCAATCTTCAAATACTTCAAAGATCTACAAAATATGGCATTTAAAATGCTTTGAGAACTTAGACTTTTCTCAACAGTGAATCGTCTGCTCCTGGCAGCACCAATTACTTCAAGAGGATGTGGGCATCGAAGAAGCCCCTTATGGAGTTTGATTTCAGTGGGCAAGAAACTGCTCTTGCCTGGACTGCACGACAATATGTTGTATAATCTGTACAAGCAGGACCCATAGGAAAGTGACTGCTGAGCTTGCCAAAACAAGATGGGAAAGTCCTTCAGGGTTCCTGATTCATGGAAGAGTCTGCAAGACAATCTGCAGGACACAGAAAAATAACTGACAAACTGCCAATATAGGCGGGACAGTTACAAATTTTCTGCTTCACTGAAAAGTCTTTAAGATATGCTAGTTGTGTAGGCCAAAGATGGATGCTCCAATATTGCAGAGGAACCTTGGGTATAGGCAGCTAGCTGTTTCTGTTATTTCTCACTTTTTTTTTTTTTTTAAGAAGTCGCTTGCTTGCACTTGCTGCTTACTCAGTTAATATTATTTCCTTCTCGGGTCTCTGATGGAGTTGAAGACTTTATAGTTATAGTCTATAGATTCAGAAAAGAAATTCACCAAGGAAATGTAACATGTATAAGGTTGAGAGACATAAAAAGATAGTTTTGGTAATGCAAGTTAGGACAGAGAGTGAATTAGGTATAACCTTTTGGACTCACCATGATAGGGTAGATATGGAGTATTTTCTCTGAATTTGTCAATGGACTAGACATTGTTGATGTATTTATTGCTTGTATATATTGTACATAGTTATTGTACTTACTGTACATAATTTTTCATATAATAGTTATTACCTTTTAAATTTTTAGACAAAAAAGGAGCAATGTGGTGATATCTTATTTATACTCTAACCAATAAAGCTTGTCTGAAGATCAGAGGGCAGAGCTGGCCACTAGCTAATCACAGAGGTCTGGAGGTCTGCACAGACAGACAGGAAGTGATATGACTGGGCAGAGAGACGAATATAGGTGGGATGAGACAGGAACTAGGCCTCTTTTCAGTCTGAGGACTTCATAGAGGTAAGGACTCTAGTGGCTGGCTGCTTTGCTTCTCTGACCTTTCAGCTTTCACCCCCTAATATATGACTCTGGGTTTATTATTAAGACCTATTAGAACTTGTGTTATATTAACTTTCTTCCAGAAATACAGAAGACCCAGGGTAGCCAAAACAATCTTGAACAACAATGACTAAAACAAAACAAAAAACCTGAAGAAGACATCACCATCCAAGATTTCAGTTATACCACAGAGCTATAATGATAAAGACAATATAGTACTGGTGTAAAAATAGACTAAAAAAAAGCCACTTTGGTTTTGATAAAGAGGCCAGCAATATAGGTTCGAGAAAACACATCATCTTAAACACTTGGTGCTGGTCAAACTGGATAGCTATATGCAGAAGAACGCAACCAAATCCTTATTACTGATCCTGCACAAAACTTGACCCCAAATGGATTAAGGACCTTAAAGTAAGACTTGAGTCTGATAGGGCAGAAAATGGGGACATTCTTGACTTCAATGGCACAGGAAACAACTTTCTGAACACTAGTACAGGCATTAAGACCATTAATTAATAAATGGGACCTCATGAAACTAAAGGAATCTTGTCCCGCGCCCGCTCTGTATTTCTCGGCCGGCAAGAAATCATACACGGGACACTCGGATCCTTCTGCAGGAAAGCTTTAATGCGTCTTGAGAGGAGAGCATAAGCTTACCGGAGCGGAGACACTGAGCCAAGAATCCCGTCCCCTAATAAAGGCTGGCAGCCGCCGCCTGGGACGTGTCACCCTATGATTGGCTGCAGCTCATCCGGCCATATGACGCCACGGAATAGGCAGAGATCAAGGAATGGAAAATTACCCAGCGCCTGCGCAATAATCTTGTTTACATTCGGTGCCTGCCGGATGCAGGCGCCATCTTGTAATGGAGAATGCAGGGACGGCTCCCTACAGAATCTGTACAGCAAAGGCAGCCCATGGCACCAGAAAAATTCTCTACCAGCTATACATCTGACAGAGTTAATATCTAGAAAATGCAAAGAGCTTTAGGAAAAGGAAAGTTACCCCCCTCCCAGAAAGAAAGGAAATGGAGAATCCAATAAAAAGAAAGAAAATAACTTTTAAAACACCTTTAGCCAAGCAATTTAAAAATTCTTTGAGATTTTTAGCTCATCCAGTCAGAATGACTAATGCAAAAGAAAACAACAACAACAAAAAAACAACGAAACCAAGCAGCAACATGTGCTGGGTTTGATGTGGGAAAAGGGGAGCACTAATTGATTGCCAGGAGGAGTGCAAACTGGGGAAATGACTGTAAACATCATTGTGGGGTTCCTCTGAAAGCTAAAAATAATGTCTACACATGATCAAGCTATACCCTCTTGGGCATTTGCCCAAAGGACTCCCCCATATCCTAATCTAGAGAACCTGCTCTTCCCTGCTCATTGATGCCCTGCTCACAGCAGCCAGGAGAAAGAGCCGAGAAGTACATCAGCTGACAAAGGAATAATGAAAATGTATATTTACACAACGGATTATTATTCAACTGTTAAGAGAGATGGAATTAGGAAATTTGCCGGTGAATAAATGGAGCTGGAAACACTCATTCTGAATGAGGTGATCCAGACCCAGAAAGACAAATGTTGCACATTTTTTCCCCAGTTGTGGATGTTAGCTTTGAATCTTGGATATGTGTTTTATTTGTAACACCCATAGAGGTCAGAAAATTTCCAAGGGGAGAGGAGGGGGCCTTTAAAAGGAGGAGCAATGGAGTTCAGTAATATAAAGAGTTAAAAGGGAATAACGAAACAGGAAGTATTATATTGGGTCAGGGAGAGAGGGGTAGGGTAAGTGAAGTATAAAGGATGGATAAATAAAACTATCGATCTTTTGAAAAAGTCATATGGAAACATATTACCATTTAGGATTTCTAAAATACACCCCACCCCCTACACTAGTTAAAATAGAAGTTACCCTATAAAATGGCAACAATGTCCCTACCAGACAGAGGCTAGCAAATAAAAGCCCAGTGCCAGGAATTTCTTTTGGAGTTGTAGGTCCCAAACAGTATAGGCTATTGCCATTATTCCTGATTACTCTTCAGAATGCTCTTTTTAGTTTCAATTTACTTTATTAGTTTTAAAAGTCTCAATGTATTATTCATTGCACATGGTACAATAACATAGGACATGTTCATATACCTATATAATACACCTTGAGCTCATTTTCCACAGACTCTCTGACTGCGAACCCTGTGAGCTATAGTTATGATTGACCTGGAAAGACATTCCCACTGGTACAAAGTGGCTACAACATCATGGCAGCAGCCGATAACTTTCTCATTAGATTTAAGATGAAACACATACCTGACACCATTATTGGGCTAAGAACCCATGGCTAGACAGATCACAGACCACAGGGGAGAATCTATTACTATTATTTAGCTAAAGGGACATAGTATACTGACTCTTAAAACTTCTCATTAAGCCCATAGATCCATGTATCTCTCCACCCTCTCCTGAGAAGCTTCAATTTCTATAGATGATGATTAACACAGAGACCCACAACTGGCCAAGGTGCAGAGATTAAGCAGAATGATCATCCCTAAGTGGAACATATATACCGCAATCCCCTTTCCCACAAAGCTTAGGGAACATGGTGGAAGAGGGAACAGAAATTTTAAGAGCCAAATGTGATGGATGACTGTAAGGAAACAGTCTTTTGGATATAACAGGGCACCTGAATATATGGACTCACAGTGGTTGTTACACAATGCACAAGCCCAAGTCATATCAAATCCTATCATGGGAGAAACCCTGTCTCTAGGTTGTTATGGCTGTGAACATAGTTGAGCAAGTGTCCTTGTGGTATGATTGAGCATCCTTTGGGTATATGCCCAAGATTTCTTTGGGGATTTTTTTTTTTTTTTTTTTTTAAAGATTTTATTTATTTATTTATTTATTTATTTATTTATTATGTAAATAACATTCTGCTTCCATGTATTTCCGCACACCAGCAGAGGGCACCAGATCTCATAACAGATGGTTGTGAGCCACCATGTGGTTGCTGGGAATTGAACTCAGGACCTCTAGAAGAGCAGCCAGTGCTCTTAACCACTGAGCCATCTTTCCAGCCCCCTTCCAGGGATTCTTATGTCTCCCCTTCATTTTGACTGATGCAAGTTGGAATCTCAAAAATGTTTAAATTTTTATTTCCCTTATTGCTAAATATTTTGAAAACATTTTAAGGTATCATTGGCCATCTGTATTTCTGCCTTTGAGAACGCTCTGATCAGTTAGTTCATGAGTTCTGTTGGAAAAGATTTTACCCCTATTCTGAAAGTTGTCTCTTCACCCTGGTAATTGTTTCTTTTGCTGCTTATGCCACATTTTCCTGTTTATGCTCTCACTTCTTCCAAGTTAATGCTTCAGGGAGGCCAAGTGGCAGCTCTTCAGGGCGCAGGAGTAGGAATCACAGCACAGATGGGAAAAGGAGGCTTTATTGTAGAGGTTGTCTCAGACAGTGTCAGAATCTCCACTCCGTGAGGAGTTTGACTTCTCTAATGGCTTCGTTCCTCTTTTCCATTCCTTCCTGTTTTCTTCTCTGCCCCTTTGAGTTCTTGGTATCTCTATGATTGCATAACTGTCCTGCAACTATTCTCGGTCTGTGGTTCTCCCTTTGCAGGGCAGGGTACTGGACTTCATGCTGCATGCTCAGGGCAGCTCTCTGTTACTGCCTCTTATCCCTAGCTGGTATTGGGATAATTTGCTCCCACATTTGTTTTTTGTTCAGGACCTATTTTACAGAAGGGATGGCACACATCTTCTGAGAGCAGGGGAAGATTTCTTCTCAATATGTTTTCAGAAAACATTTATATCAACACGAACCTCAAAAATAAATTTGATTCCTCAGACATCAAAGCAGGTAAGAAAGCATTTTCTTTTCTTTCTTTCTTTCTTTTTTTAAAAGATTTATTTATTATGTATACAACATTCTGCCTCCATATATGCTTGCACACCAGAAGAGGGCACCAGATCTTATTACAGATGGTTGGGAGCCACCATGTGGTTCCTGGGAATTGAACTCAGGACCTCTGGAAGAGCAGTCAGTGCTCTTAACCTATGATCCATCTCTCCAGCCCATGGAAGCATTTTCTGATGCTCCTAGTTAGTGATGAAATAAAGGACAAAGACAGATGATCTTAGTTGCTGGCTGTGTTTCTGGGTCACCGGAGTCTCAACCAAGTGTGCTGCCTGTAGACAGATGTGAAAGGTTGTGGCATTGTACAATGGAAAAGAGAAGGTGCTGTCTTTACTTTTACCAGCTAGAGAAAAACCACACCATCCATATTATTGTATCTTTTCTTTATATTGTACATATAAATATACATAAGGATGTGCAACAAATTGCTTCAAAAGTTAAATTATGGTATCCTGGCGTCCCCTTGTCTATTTGGAAACGTATTGTAATCTGTTTGGCATCTAGGTGTTGAGTAGCTTTTTTCACTCATCTCCTTCCAGTGATGAGGACAGATCTAGGACCTCACACACGGTTGGAAAGTATTGTAACTCTTTTAGAAGTGGTGACTAAAAATATGATGACTTTATCACAAAATGTAACTTCTTGACTATCGGATACTTTGAAGTTGGAAGCAAACTGGAAGACTTTAAAAGCATATAATGAAATCCTAGGCAACCATTATAAAACTGATAAAGAAGACATGGTGACATAGAAAAGTGTTCATCCAGATGTTCAGGCACCTGTCTGTAATCGCAAAACTCAGGAGGCAGAGACAGGGAGGTTGATGTGAGTTTGAGGCCACCTTGGACTACACAATGAATTCAACGTCTGCCAGGGCACATACCATGACTCTGTCTCAAAAATAAAACAAAAAAATCATAAAGAAAAAAAAACATGATACAATGTCAAAGAAAATGATAGTCAGGAACCGTATTCATGATGTTCCAGTTGGGGAAAATGCACATTTATATGTAAAAGCTTTCAACTTGTTGGAAAGATACATACCAAAATACTGACAAAATCCTTCTCAATGTCAGGAATAAGTGGTTTTACACATACTGTAATGCTTCTATAATTAACATGATTTTTTTGCTATTTGCATTTTCCTATTATTTCAAACATCATGCTATTAGTGTTTAACATGCACAAAAAGAGAGGGGTACGAGAAAGACAAGGAAAAAGGATCAGGACTCAAAACGTGAATTTGGTTTGTTTTTCAGCTCCTCAAAAGAAGACCTCGTCTCATGAAAATTGTCATAGATTTTCCAGGGTCCTCTTCACTGCACTCACAATCTACTTCCTGCTCTCAACAATCTTATTCTCCACTGCTCTGATCAGTAAGTCTGCAGTGGGACAGGTAACAAAGAGAAGGAAGGGACCCGTTAGACAGAGGGCTACCCAGAAGCCTGAGACAGACACTTTCTCTGGGGAGGTAGATGACATTGGGAATTTTGCTCTGTCTTAGAACAACTACTCTGTAAAGTCGTTAGTTCTCACGAAAGAAGCAAGTGTGTCACAGAGTGAAGCCCTGGGCATCTGTGTGAGACTCCAGTATTGAGGACGGGTCTGTCTTCCCAGCAGCATCTACAAGCCAGCCCCATTTGGGATGAGCAGGCTGATGAGAAGACATGCCCAGAGCTATTCCAGGGACAGTGTTCCAGTGGATTTCCTTCTAACCGTTTACTTTTTGTTCCAGATCGTATGAGACCTGATAGCTACTTTAGAAAATAGTGGATTTCTCTGTAGATTGGCTATCAATTTATGAAGAATTAAAAAGCATAAACTGTATTTTAATGCAGGTGTTATATTCATTCGTTCAATAATTAATAATATGCATTTCCTATATATTAGGCAGCATGTCAGAGAGTCCAGAAAGAGCTACAGTCCCCAGTCTCAGGAAATTCACAGAATAGTCAAGTGAACCAGTGCTTTAAAAATTCCATAGAAAACGCTATGCGGGTGAGAAGTAAGAAGCAAATACAGCAGGCTAAGAAAAGCTTGGCGCAGATGACATCTAGGCCTGCATGTGCCCTCAGTGTCATAGACATGAGAGAGCATGGAAAATATGGCTATTATAGGGACGCATCACTGTAATGTATATTGCCACATGAAACTGTAGAAAGCAGACGGAAGTGAACTCAGATCATGAAGTAGTACATACCATATTACACGGGTATCCCCTCTAAATGTTATTTTATTTAGTAGACTTAGTAGGTTAATTGAGCTTTTTATTTAATACTTGCTTGGTGGCTTTACTGAGACTGGTCTCTCTTGGAAGATTCCCTTGGTCCTAGGTGAACTCACTCCTTCTCATGGAGTCATGCATCAATAACAGACAGCCCAGCATCCCATGTCAATTGCAAACTTCCAGGCCATCTGGTGGCAGTAAGCCAAGCCCAGCATGGAGCAAGCATACGTTTGCCTTTGTGTATTTTAGTGGCCAAAGAAAGTCTTAAAGGCAGCTCAGATGAGGTAATGAAGAATTAGACATAGTTTCTTGAGTAGGGAAGTGCAAAGGTGTAGTCCAAGTGGATATTCATAGCAGGAAGTTTGAAAAGTCTGTCCAGTTTTGCAATGTGCCACAGTCATAGAGACCCACTGAAGAATCAGAAGCAAGACATGTTAAATTAAAACTGACTTAGAGAAGCGTGCTCTTGCAGAGGTTTGGGAAGGAAAACAGATGGAAATTAGGAAGCTAACTCAGAATGCACTTGAGCAGTACTCGGGGTTTGATCTAAGGTTCATGCTGATGATCACGGGAAGGGAGAGAAACTGGACCCAAAGGAGGTTATGTTTTGATCAATATTGATAGCTGAGGATTGGGGGACACACAGGAGTGAGGTATGGTTTAATATTGTGATTTCATGAAGTCAGAAGTCATGAAGTTATTTGAAGAGGAAGACAATAAGGAACAGGTTTGGGGTGATCTAAGTTTTGTTTATGTTCACCTGAATCTCAGATGCACAGATTCAGTCGGATGCATAGTAACATGTTTTAGGAAAGAGGTGTACATTTTAGAAAACCTTTGCTTATAGGCAACACATAACAACAACAACAACAAAAACACTAAAAAAAAAAACCAAAACAACCACGCCTAGTCCCCACCCCCACCCAACAATCCAGGCAAATGCAGTATCACTAAACAAGAGGAATTTGGAGGAGAAAGAGAGGGAGCCACTGTCTCCTAACAGTGAAGGAGAAGGAGAAGCAGGCCAGGGCCATGTGACAAGTCCCATAGGAAGATGACTGATCAGTGTACACAGGGGCATTGATATCTATTTCAAGAACAGTTTGGTAATAAGCAGAAGTGAAAGCCAGAATCTAGTGACTCAAGGAACAAGTGGGAGATGAGGAAGAGAAAAAAGAAAATTGTATTTCTAGAGGGAAGGTGAGTTAGTTTTAAGTGAGGAGCACCGAGAATGTGTGGGACACTGAGAAGTCAGAGCTAGCTGGTGGAGGGAAGTAAAGGAAAGAAAAGGGCAGAAATAAAGTCCTTTTGATCAGTGTCGGGCTCTTTTATAACTTCATGCTCATGTAACCTGGAATTAGCTCATTTCTCCCTCACCTTTCCTGGGATACCCATGTACTTAATAGAACTTGTCACCTCAGATGTAGTCTTTAGTCATTTAGTCTTTAAATGTTGAAGACTATCCAGGGTCATGGATCTGTCCAGCCCTTCCAGCTCTTCCTGGGGATATCTGTGGTCATAAATCACTAGGAGCAGGCTTATATTGGCTGTGGGGTGATGGCAAATTGTCTTTTTTTGTGGTAAGGTCTCATGTAGCCTAGGATAGACATGAACCAAGTAACTAACCAAGTAACTAAGCCAACCAACCAACCAACCAATCAGCTGCACTAATTTGTATAGTTAGGGATGACCTGAAACTTCTGATCTCCCTCATCCTAACTCTCAACTGCTAGGACCACAGACACCGCACTCTATGTTGATGGGGAATCTTTCCCAGTCAGGCTGTAAGTACTCAGGTAATTGGACATTTATAGGCTTGGTTTCTACAAAGAATGCAAGAAGGTAAAGAGTTGACTCTTCGTACTACCAGAAAAATGAATGCTTTTTTATTCTGTTTTACAGCTTTGTTTAAAAAATATTCTCAGCTTCTTGAAGAAAAGGCAATCAGAAAAGAACTGAATTATACCCAATTGGAATGTACAAAGCAGCATTCACTCTTGAAAGGTAATGCCTAGAATACGAATTTCCAACATGATTTTTGGGTAGATCCATCCATCAGGAATGGTCACTATGGGGATACATTCATACCAGCTGCCCAGGGAGTCCCTTTTAGAGGTTTCCAATCAGGCATAATTGGGAGTGTGGCAACCTATTGACAATGAAGGAAAGTTTCAGGTGGGGAGAGCCGATGCCAGGCTGAATGAATTTTATGAGAAACAGAAAGGAGCTCCAGAAACAATAAAGCAAACCTGATGTCGTGAATGTCAGCATTTCCAGGGAGTCATGCTCAAGGATGTGTGTTTAAGATTTTGTTTTTTATTTAGAATATGTTTATATGCAAGTGTCTGTGTGTGGATTTGTGCGTGTGAGTGCAATGCCTGCAGAAGGCAGAAGAGGATGCCAGATCACTGGAGATGGAGTTATATGTGGTCGTCAGCCACAGGTTGTGGGTGCTGGGAACTAGACTTCAGTCCTCTGTGAGATCAGTACACACCCTTAACCACTGAGCCTTTTCTGTAGTCCCTCAAGTGTCTTCATAAGTGTGTGTGTGTGTGTGTGTGTGTGTGTGTGTGTGTGTGTGTGTGTGTGATGTTGTTGCTTTGTCACTTACAGTGTCTACAAAGTGTAATATATTCAAAACTTGAATGCAGAATTTGCAAACTAAGACGGAAGGTGGACATATGAAGGTACTGCTTAGGTTTAGGAAAGAGAAGAAAGTGCTTAAGGTTATCCTCAACTTCGGCCCCGAGTAAGCCAAGTGTCTCCACTGTTTGCCATCTATAAGTGAGATGTCTTTGGAATACACCATCTGGCTCTAAATAGGCAGTGTTTGTTTATTGTCTGTGACAAGAGAGCCTTTGGAGAATACTGTTTGAGCTTGTCTGGGGTTCCTGCGCTTCTCAGCAGAGCTCTGTCTCTTCACTCAGTCATATCCTTTGCTGTAAAGAAGCCTGAAGCCCTCTTCAGGGAGTCTTTGTCTATGCCCATACCTTGACATGTTTCTCTAGTTTTTTCTCTAACAATTTCAGGGTTCCAGGCCTCACAGCAAGGTGTTTAATCCACTTAGACTCTATTTTAGAGCCAGTTTTTATACAGAATGGCTGTGGGTCCAGCGTCATTCTTCTGCATGTTGGTAACTAGTTTTTCCAGTACAATTTGTTGAAGAGCCCATCTTCTTCCACTATGTATTTTTGGTGAAAAGTCAGGCAGCTGTAGCTGTGTGGGTTTATGTCTGTGGTTCTTTTTTTGTGTTTATTGATTAATGTGTCTCCTTTTGTGCTGGTACTGTGCCCTATAGTGTAGCCTGAAGTCAGGCATGGTGATGCCACCAACATTATTCTTTTTCCTTCAGGGTTGCTTCGGCTATCCAGGGTCTTTTGTGCTTCTGTATGACTTTTGACATTGTGTTGTCTATTTGTCATTTGAAAAATCATGGAATTCTTTTGTGGGGCTTGCATTCACCTGTAGGTATTTAGGATCTTTATATGAGACTTTATTTTTCTGTTGCTTTTCAGGTTTTCATCCCTCGATATCTGTTGCTTCCAGGATGCAATGTAACACCCTGGAAAACTCAAAATTTGATTTTCGGATATAAAATTTCCATTCTTCTCTTTTTTATTTATTGATGGTTTACATATTTTTAAAACCTATACTTTAGTTATCTTGTTTATTCTAATATATTGACTACCACCTTTATCACCACTAATGAAAAATATCTGTCTGCTAACTCTGAAATTTTACAGCCTTGGTTAATGACATCTGTTGTTTCATATATAAATATGCATATGTCTATGTAATAAGCAAACTTTCTGGTTCTTGGTGTGATGAGTTCATTTCTTGAGAGATCCTGAAAGTTTGATATTATGTCCTTGGTGTCTGAATGCCCTTTACACTGTTTTCCTGACAGCGCCCCAGTAGGACAAAGGGGCCCTGCCATTAGCGCAGATGGATGTATATTGAAGAAGATAAACAATGAAGAACTGATACGGAATCCATAAAGTTAGGATAGCTTTAATAGATAAACGCCAGCCAACAGCAAGCAAGAGCGTGCCAAAAGCAGCAAGGCAAGGGAGACAAGAGAGGGCCTGCCATGTGCCTTGTCTGTCCCTTTAAACCCTAACATTTCCCTGACATCACCTGTAGCCACCTCTTAGGAGGTGTGGTTAGGGTGTCTCCCTACAGGTATAGACTAAGGTTGCTTGGCACCTGAAAGGCAGGGGCTCCTTTGTTTGGAGAAGTGGGAGTCCCAGCTCCCATGTGGTCTCTGCACACAGCAACTTTTAAATGACTTTATGACTTTGCACTTACATCTCCTTCCTCCCCCATAGACAAAGTCTGGAGTTGTTGTCCAAAGGACTGGAAGGCATTTAGTTCTCACTGCTACTTCATTTCCAATGACTTGGCAAATTGGAACCAGAGTGAGGAGAAGTGTTCCAGTATGGGCGCTCATCTGATGGTGGTCCACAGCAAGGAAGAGCAGGTGCATTGTGGGAGGGAGTGGGGCCTGCGTCCTGCCTGGTGTCTGCCTGTTTTTACTAACAGGAGTTTTGCTGACATGGGTGTTAGTGATGTGGCAGAAGGCTTTCCATCAGATAGCCAGGAAGGTTGCTTCAGCCTTAGCTTTCTACACCTTGTTCCTGCTGCAGTAGAGCTAAGGACCAGAAGGAACCATGGCAACAGAAATGCAAGTCCTGAGGTTGGAGGGAGGGTGATATGTTTTCTGTTTGAAAGACCAGTGCATGACTCCAGCCCTCTAATGCTTCCTGTAGTAGCAAGTGCCTAACAGAGGAGGACGCAGAGCTGACTAGGGAAACAGGATGGAATCTGGAGAGTCACAGCCACCCATCAGAAATGAAATATCTCAAGTTAATAATGGAGAATGATTAATCTGCAAAATTCTGTCATGTGCAACTTTCAAGAATGGTCTTGGGGAAGAACAGAGGGGAGTGAGTCTGAAATAAGAATTCATTATGATCATGGACAGAGGTTGTTTGCAGTGACGTGGAAATCAGGTCTATGAGTGATGACTTTGTGTCCTGGTCAGATGAGGAAGTTGGCCCTCCTGGGGGTGGGTGACTCTTTAGTCCTTGACCCTTCCTTTGTCTTCTCATCTCTGTGTGACCGGAAAAAGTATCACAGTGTGCCTCTAAAATGTACAATTATTGTGCACTAATCTAAAACTTGAAAACTGTTTAAGGGCCTAGACAGATGAACTGTTTATGATATATTTGCATATGTGCATCATATTGAACCTATAATTCTGTGGAGTTAAAATTTTTAAAAGATCTTGTAAAACTTCTGCAACAGACAATGCAGCCCTCCATCCAGGCTGAGTGCTTTATGTTTCCTTCTTCTTAGGATTTCATCACCAAGATCCTGAGTAATCGTGATGCTTATTTTATCGGTCTTTTGGATCCAGGCAATCGAAAGTGGCGATGGGTTGACCAGACACCATACAATGAAAGTGCCACGTGAGTCTAGAGTTACCTAGAGGAGTCGTGGGTCCCGTGGCATGAGAAGATTTTAGGGTGCTCCAGCTGTTGGTTGTGAAACTAAAACAGCTCACTCCTGGTGTGGCTGCTGGGGATGGAGTTACTTTTATCCCCATGGACTCATCATAGGAGTCCTGTGAGACACGTGTTACTATGCTCCAGGTAGAGATGAGGAAATGGAGTTTGAAGAGTACAGAATGATAAGTACCCAGGGCACACAATCTAGGTGCTTACCCGTAGGTGGGCGTTGTTATGCTTCCAGTCACTCATCTATATCCTAAAAAGTAGGATCTATTTTTACTTTTATTTGTGTGTATGTATGTGTATCTCTGTGTGTGTCATGTGTATGTGGGTGGCCATGGAGTCCATAAGAGGGTGTTGGATCACCTGGAGCTGGGGTAACAGGTGGTGTGACCACGTCAATATGAGTGCCGGGAACAGAACTCTCCCATTTTCTGGAAAAGCAGCAAGCACTCTTAATGTCTGAGCCATCTCTCCAGCTTTCATTTACATATTTATGATAAAAGCCCCAATCTGATATTGTTGTGCTTCATATCTATGTAATTATTAAAAACTCTAATCTCTTAGTATTTTCCCATATTCTATCTTGATTTCTGTTGTGAGAAATAGGTAGTGATGGCATTGTTGTTCTCAGTTTTCAGAGAAGAAAAGTAGGAATCCAGGATATTAAATTATTTGTCCTAGATGACAGAAATAAGTAGATTATCTAGATATTTTAACTAGTTCTCCAGTCTATAACATAAGACTGTTGTAAAAAAAAAACTCTATTAAAACATAAGAACAAAGAGAGACCTTTTTAGCATGTAAATAAGCACCATGGAATGACAGACCCCAGGTACCAAGACCTAGGGATGAAGTAGCCTCTGGGATGTGTTGTGGGAGAATGGTTAAGAACAAGCTAAGAGAACATTGAATGCGGTGGGCCCTGTTTTCCAGGGAAATGTCAGATGTGGGTGGTGGAGAATGGCTGATTTGTCCACACTTGATCTGATTTCCACAAATTCCAGCCTCATCCTCAGGCTTGCTTACTCTTGCTTTCTCCTTCCCAGCATTGCTGTAGGAATCACCCTGATGCTCTTTCCTCCCTTTCAGGTTCTGGCACCGAGGTGAGCCCAACAATGACAAAGAACAATGTGTTATATTCAATCGACTTTCTGGTTGGGGCTGGAATGACGTCTTTTGCAGTGATCCACAGAAGTCAGTTTGTCAGATGAAGAAAATATACTTATGAAAAGGCATTCCCATGGACACATGATTGCATTTTTATCTGCCATTACACAGACACCTGCAAAGTTCTTCTTGTGGAAGAGATGTCCACAAAATTTTAGGTAGTCTTCCCACAGTTACACCTATGGTAATACTGGTCCACATATATACTTATTTATCCATCCTTTACTGTCTTGTATAATGAGAATTTCCCACACACCAGAGACTATACAGGACTCCATTTGAGTACATGTGGGAACACACCATCTTCTCTGTCCACGCTTAGATTTCTAACTTCTTATTTGATGATAGAATTGTATGGTGTGGTCCCTCTACACATCTCTCTCTCCTCTCTCTCTCTCTCTTTCTCTCTTTCTCCCCTCTGTTATTGGATTTATTGATCTCTAATTGACAAATAAATCATGTATATTAATATTGCACTGTATTTGCTTGACATGGAAATGCACTGGGCAACGGCTCCAAGATCAGATTAACAACATCCTCTCTTTCCCGTCATAGTTGCCTATTTTGTGTGTGTGGTGTTAGAACATCTAAGATCTTCTTAAGCACATTCAGACAGACAGGGTGACATTGAAACCTACTGTCACTTTGACCCTCAGTGCTTACTCACATTTTCTCTGGCAGATTGTACCCTTCCATCAGCAATTTCATGTCTCCCAATATCTGTACTACCAGGAACCATTCAGGAACTTGGTGCTCATTGCTAGTGTGTGGGGTACTATGGGTGCTATGAGGCTGATGAGGGCCTCTGATGAGTGGCTGATCCTAGACTGGGTGACCTTCATCAACAGAAAGTTTGAGAAGATGATAGCCAATCTTCTGCTGGCACCCCAGTGATTCTTGTTGCCTCCCCTTGGTGCCTGCCACATTAGGGACAGCCTCAGCTCTGTGAATGGACACTGAGGAGACCCACATGTCCCATGGAAGCCTGTATGCTGCTTAACACTTTGGAAGCCCTTTCAACTCTTTATCACGAATATTTTGAAACAGAAGTTGACTGGGTGGTGTCATTGATAATCATATAACTTCCTTCTCTACTAATGGTCGTTGACATTTTGATAATTTGATATATATGTGTATATGCATATATATATGCACATGTGATGTAAGATAATCTCTTGTAACTGTAAAGATTTATCACTTGTATTGGTTTAATAAAAAGCTGATTGGCCAGCAGCCAGGCAGAAAGTATAGGTGGGGTGACCAGACTAGGAGAATTCTGGGAAGAGGAAAGGCAGAGACACAGTTGCCAGCTAGATGTAGAGGAAGCAAGATGAGAATGCCTCACTGAGAAAAGGTACCATGCCATGTGGCTAAACATATATAAGAATTATGGGTTAATTTAAGTAGTAAGAGTTTTTCAGTAATAAGCCTGAGCAATAGGCTAAACAGTTTATAATTAATATAAGCCTCTGTGTGTTTATTTGGGACTGAACAGCTTTGGGACTGGGTGGAACAGACACTTCTGTCTACATGTGATGCCCAAACATTTTGCAAGAATGTCCACGTAAAACCTGACAAAAACTTGAAAAGGGATTCTTAACACAAAACAACAGGATCAAGCCTGGTCTCTTGGTAGCAGCATTTTCTCAAATGTGCTCTGTTTGCTAGAGGACATTTAAGAGAGGCTTTAAGGCTTTAAGGCTTCCTGACTCAGTATCTGTGGCAAAAAACTCATGGCTCTTTTAAAAGGCCCAGCTGACAAACACTTAAAGGTGTTTATGAGTAGTTGGCAGCATGCTTCTTGTTGGTGACACGGACCTAGAAACTCTGAAGAGTTGTGGCATAAACACTCCCACCAGTACCTCCACCATGAAGCTAGACTCTCAGCAAGCCAAGGAATCAGGTGGAGACAGCTGTATCTAACCACTCGGTTTAGCAAATTAAAGACTCATGTGGTCATCAAAGACCTTAATTTAAATCCATCCACACTGAACCTTATAGATGAGAAAGTGAGAAATACACTTGATCCCATAGGCAAGGGAGACCACTTCTTAAATAGAACACCAGCAGTGCAGACACGGAGTGTAACAATTAATAAATGGGACCTCCTGAAACATGAGAAGCATCTGTAAAGCAAAGAACACAGTCAATAAGACAAAATGGCGGCCCACAGAATGGGAAAAGATCTTTACCAACCCCACATCTGACAGAGGGCTGATCTCAAAATATACAATTAATTCAAGAAACCAGAAATCAAACTACCAAATAATCCAATTAAAAATGGGGTACAGATCTAAATAGAGAATTCTCAACAGAACAATCTCAAATGGCAGAAAGACATTTAAGAAATAGCCAACATCCTTAGTCATCAGGGAAATGCAAATCAAAACCACTCTGAGAGATTCCATCTTACACCAATCAGGATGGCTAAAATAAAAAGCACCAATGAAAGCTTATGTAGGAGGGGATGTGGAGAAAGGACACTCCTCCATTGCTAGTGGGGAGTGCAAACTTGCAGTCACTGTGGAAATCAGTATGGCAATTTTTCAGAAAATTAGGGATCAACCTACCTCAAGACTCTGCAATACCACTGTTGGGCATATATCCGAAGGAGGCACATTCACACCACAAGGACATTTGCTCAGCTATGCTCATAGCAACATTATTTGTAATAGCAAGATCTTGGAAACAGCCTAGATGCTCCTCCACTGAAAAATGGATAAAGAAAATGTGGTATATTTACACAATGGAGTACTACTCAGTGGTAAGAAACAATGACACCCTAAAACTCACAGGCAAATGGACAGAGCTAGAAAAAACCACCGTAGTTGAGCTAACCCAAAACCAGAAAGACAAATATAGTATGTACTCACTCATAAGTGGATACAAGGAATAAAGCAAAAGACACCCAGCCTACAATCCGTAACCCCATAGAAGCTTGAACCCTCTTCCAGAAACAGATGGAAGCAGATGTAGAAATCCACAACTAACCAATGGGCCAAGCTCTTGGAGTACAATTGAAGTGAGGGAGGAGCAAAAATATGAACAAAGGAGTCAAGACCACGATGGGGAAACCCACAGAATCAACTGACCCCAGCTAGTGAGAGATCGCTGACTCAGATCTGACAAATGGGAAACCTGCATAAGACCAAACCAGACTCCCTTAATATAGGTGACAATGGTGTGACTGGGACAATATATGAGGCCAATGGCAGTGGGTCCAAGATCTAACACTATGCACAAATTGACTTATTGGAACCCATTCTATATGGAGAGACACCTTGCCCAGCCTAGACACAAGGGTGTGTGGGGTGGGGAGGTGCCTTGGTCTTGCCTTAACTAGATGATGGGACAGAGTTAGTAGACTTCCTGGGGAAGGCCTTACCCTCTCCATGGAGCAGATGGGAGGAGTGGGGGGGGGGGGAGGGAGTAGGAGGAGAGGAGGGAGGGGGAACTGGGATTGGAATGTAAAAAATAAATTAATAAAAAGGCAAAAAAAAAGCAAAAAAAATAAGACTTATGTGGTCAGAAAATGATAGAGATATATAGTAAAGACTGATTCTGATAGGGAAAAAAGAAGCTCTAAAGGGTTTACAGTGTGTTTAAAAATATACATAGGCTTGGGAGACAAAAGAGAAAAGGATAGAGAAGGTACTTAAAAAAGAAATAGAGTAGCTGGGTGTAGTGGCACACACCTTTAATCCCAGCAGTTGGGAGGCATAGGCAGGCGGATCTCTGTGATTTCAAGTTCAGCCTGGTGTACAGAGTGAGCCATGGGACGGCCAAGGCTACACAGAGAAACTTTGTTTCAAAAAACCGAAGAAGAAAAAAGAAATAGCCACATAAAGAAGGAAAGTACACCGAGTCTGGATACTGTATGTTATTGTGTTGCCTTTGAGTTGTTTGACTCCTGAGGAAGGAACAACAGCTGCTAAAAGACATTTGATTATAAATGCTCCTGGATTAATCCAATCTATATATTTTGATTTCCCCAATCACCACAGAGTGTGATGTCTTTGGTCCTAGCACTTGAGAGTTAGAATGAGGGAGGTCAGAAGTTTCAGGTCATTCCTAACTATACAAGTTAGTGCAGTTGGTTGGTTGGTTTAGTTACTTGGTTCATGTTTATCCTAGGCTACATGAGACCTTACCACAAAAAAAAAAGACAATTTGCCATCACCCCACAGCCAATATAAGCCTGCTCCTAGTGATTTATGACCACAGATATCCCCAGGAAGAGCTGGAAGGGCTGGACAGATCCATGACCCTGGATAGTCTTCAACATTTAAAGACTAAATGACTAAAGACTACATCTGAGGTGACAAGTTCTATTAAGTACATGGGTATCCCAGGAAAGGTGAGGGAGAAATGAGCTAATTCCAGGTTACATGAGCACGAAGTTATAAAAGAGCCCGACACTGATCAAAAGGACTTTATTTACACCCTTTTCTTTCCTTTACTTCCCTCCACCAGCCAGCTCTGACTTCTCAGTGTCCCACACATTCTCGGTGCTCCTCACTTAAAACTAACTCACCTTCCCTCTAGAAATACAATTTTCTTTTTTCTCTTCCTCATCTCCCATTTGTTCCTTGTGTCACTAGATTCTGGCTTTCACTTCTGCTTATTACCAAACTGTTCTTGAAATAGATATCAATGCCCCTGTGTACACTGATCAGTCATCTTCCTATGGGACTTGTCACATGGCCCTGGCCTGCTTCTCCTCCTCCTCAAGAGTTAGGAGACAGTGGCTCCCTCCAGCTTTACCTGGCCCTGCTTGGTGCTCTTTCCTTCATGTCTCCTTCTATGCTCACCTCTCCTACAGTGGAATATTGTACTCAGTTCCATCTATACCTCTCTTTCTCTTCCAAATTCCTCTCGCTTAGTGATACTGCATTTGCCTGGATTGTTGGGGTGGGGACGGGGACTAGGCATGGTTGTTTTTTTTTTTTTTTTTTTTTGTTTTTTTTTTTTTTTTTTTTTTTAGTGTTTTTTGTTGTTGTTGTTTTTATCTGTTGCCTATAAGCAAAGGTTTTCTAAAATGTACACCTCTTTCCTAAAACA